AATTTACCCCTGAAAAACACCACCTACATCAAATTCTTTGGTGTGGTAGAAAGGTCCATTACTTTAAAAAAGGCAAAAAACAAAACCTTAAAAGCATACTGATATCAAAAGTAGTGGTATTCTGAAAAATGAGTACTTTTACATTGTTGTTTTGGTAATTTGACTAACGGAAAGCATCTGAATACTTCTGTGAAGCACACAAGATGACAATGCAACATTATTAAAAAAAATCGAATAATCATAATAAACATTTACATAACAACATAACATTTTACTCGTATCTGAGTGAATTTGGAATCTCTCAAAATGACTTGACTGACATCCCACCACACTTCACAAGTATGTATGTATATATATATTTGTGTATTGTTTAGTTTGTGAAGTGATGCGATCCAGGAACAGAATCATGTCTAAGAGCCAAGTGTTTCCTGTGTGAGGAGAAAGAGCTGTGGCTCGAGAGGCGACACCAGCCAGCTGTCGCCGCTCGTTCTTTGGCGCCGGGTGGTTTCCTCCGATCCAACTCAAATGTCTGGCACTCTCTGTAACTTGCCTCCTCTGTGGCGATATGATGATGGTGAGGTCTGCAGCCGCTGCCATTACAAAGAAAGAAGCTTTTCATATACTATGAGCAGAATACTAAATACCCATAATCCCCTCTGCTTGCTCAGTGCCTCCTCAATAGCCTTGCTTTCATTTATGGTGATTGTTGCGGCCTAAAATACCAGATTTTTTTGGCAGCTTTTCTTAAAATGATGAAGAAAGTTGGGATTTTTTGGCCCATTTTATTAGAAGAAATTGTGAAATAAATGAAAACTGCAAAGGTAGATGTGTCGTGTTTTATTTTAGAATGATAGTTGAATCATGAAGCAGTCCCTCCAGACATAACCCTGCATGTTTAAACCAGCTTACCTTGATTATTTCAGCCTTTGCAGCTGACTGGGATGCAGCAGCTAGTGTCTCAGTTGTCTCATCTGACGTCCTCCATGTGTTTCTGCCACACTCCACTTAGGTTTTGCAGCAGCAAAGTGTTTGTCAGTAGACGATTTGCTTTATGTTCGACAACAATACTGCAGGTTTAGCTAAACAGTTTCCCCCTCTTTGGTTAAAAAAAAAAAAAAGTGAAACTTTGGTATCACATGTCACCTGCGTCTTGTAAATAAGGAAGTGACAAGCTGACAAATGACTGTTTAGCTGGAAATGGCGTCAAATGTGTGGAAAAGTTGCAGTGATTGGTCAAAATTGCAAGTCGTGCTGTGTGTGTGTGTGTGTGTGTGTGTGTGTGTGTGTGTGTGGGCGTGGGCGTGGGCGTGGGCGTGTCCAGGCTCATCACCACCTGCATCTTCTCACACCTGTGGCTCATCTACAATCAACTCCTGCAGTGAAATACTCTGGTCCAGCTCCCACTCTTTGCCAGTTTGTCAGTTTACCGCCTGTGCTATATTGTGCCGGCCGTCTCGCCTAATTCTAGTTGAGTAATTTGTGACCTGTACCTAACTTCTTGTATTCCGTTTCTCAGTCAACCCCGCGTGTGAGTCGCTGCCTACCTGCTTGCCTGCCGATCTGTCCACCCTGAACGGCGCTTCTAACGCCATCCCCGGAACCCCGCCGGACTTGGAAGGCTCAGCCCTCTCCCCTACCCTCTGGCCATTCCTGTGCACTCTTGTCAAGAAACCTTGCCTGTGTTCTATTCATCAACATTGTGTCCGCTTCTGAATCCTTCCACCCTAACACAAATAATGTAAATGTAAATCGTGGTGTGACAGTTACACTCATCATTGTCCAGGTTAATCCTGCACAACAATAAATAACACACAGCATAATTTAGAATTTTAATAGAAATAAAAGTGGAAGATAAAGGATGTAATACAGTAATATTACAATGCAAACCTAAATGCAATGAATGTTTGAACCTGAATATTTAACCAAAGTTGGTAGAGAACAAGACAAAATCATCATATTTGAAATACTAAATTCTAGTATTATGAACCCAAGTAGCAACTGTGAGTGCTCTTCTGGAAGAGAATAATGAAATGTTTCTGACACTTTGGGGGAGAAAATGCCCAACAGCAGCTGTACCCTCTGAACAGAATCATCTGAAAATAAACTAGAATCCTCCCTTAGCTGAGGGCGAAGCTACAGATATTTTGGAGCAGATAATTGCGTCCGTCTGAATGTGACGTCGGTGTGACCTTTCTGTTGCAGGGTTCAGTCCGACGGGTCTGTAATCAGCAGATAAGAAGCACAAGCCAGGTATTGAACAATAATAATAATAATAAGTCTGGATGCATAACTTAAAAAAACACAATTTATTCTCCAGCATCGAGCAAATGTCAAGATCTTTACTGGAGCCGACACAAAGCCGCATGCTAATCCATGTAGAACTTTTTCTGTGTTGAGGCACTGTGCTCAGTGACAAACAGACAAAACAAACCCTGTCATGTCCACAGTGAGTCTGATAACACAGGAACAAGAGCTGTGTGTTCTTTACTTTGTGCAAAAAGAAAAAATGAATCAGAGTTGCCTTTTTTTTAATGAATTTTACCTCCAGTAAAACTGAGCCTACAATAAATCTAATTTACTACTTTGTAAAAATATAAACTCAACGTGGTGTGAGACAAACTGTCTCTTTTTATAAGATATCATATACAGTTTCAATAGAAATAATATGTAACTTTACACATATGCATTGTTGGGTCCTTATCTTTTTCTTGTGTTGAGATCTGCAGGAGGAAAGAACGCCCCAAACACATACACTGAATAAAATTATTTCTCTTAAATATTGTTCACAAATCTGTCTAAATCTGTGTTAGTGAGCACTTCTCCTTTGCCGAGATAATCCATCCACCTCACAGGTGTGGCATATCAAGATGCTGATCAGCATGGATATTGCACAGGCTGGCCACAAAAGGTCACCCAAAGGCGGATGGATTATCTCGGCAAAGGAAAAGTTCTCACTGACACAGATTTTGACTGATTTGTGAACAGCATTGTGGGCTCCTACCACACAGCTGTTTTGTTTCACTGCGAGGCCCTATGGCTGTCACATGGGAATGTTTTATCCAGGACCTTTGAACTGCGAGATGATTGGAATATTTTTGGAAGAAGGTAATGAACTTGGACCCTAAATTGTCCTTAGGTGTGAGTGTGAGTGGTTGTTTGTCTATGTGTGGTCCTGCGATGGACTGGCGACCTGTCCAGGGTGGACCCCGCCTTGAGCCCGATGTCAGCTGGGATTGGCTCCAGCCCCCCGCGACCCTGTATGCAGGATAAGCGGATGACGATGGATGGATGGTAATGAACTTGCCCGCAAGTTTAATGATAAATCCTTCCTCATGAAAGTAGTATGCATAACTCAGTGACATATTTCAAAAACTCAATGAACAAAGTCTGCAGATGGAAGGCACCAACACACACCTACCACAAGAAAACTGGAGATGTGGGAGCAGCGGCTTAAGGAGGGAAATAGTCATTTTAGAACCTGAAATCATTCATTGAGGTCAACAAGCTTCAGAACCCAGTGATCCCATGCATGAAAGCTCACATCTCTGCCCTCCAAAAACATTTCCAGACATATTCCCCAGTGCAGGATCCAAAACAATATGACTGGATCTAAGACCACTTCAGTGCAACACCACCTGCAGACTTAAGAGGAGGAACAGCTCGTTGATGTTACCTCTGATTCAACAATGAGGTTGCAGTTTCAGTCTGAGACACTGGCTGCGTTTTGGATTGGAATGGAGAAGGATTACCCACTGTTAGGAGGTTTCTCTGATGTGGCCTCCATCAAGACAAAATACAGATCAAAGCTGGACATTGAAAATGAACTAAGAGTGGCAGTCTCACAGCTGCAACTCTGATGTGAGAAGATCTGTGCACAAAGAAGGCTCACACCAGTCAATGAGAAGATTTATATTTTGCCTTTCAGGTGGCTGAAGTTTTAAAGCCATGTTTGTGTTGAGAGCCAATTTAAAAAAAATGCTGATTGCAGTCAGTGATTGCACAGTAAAACCTTGAGATATAATACATATTGCATACAAAATAAAGCCATTTTTGTGTTGAGTCAATTTCAAGAAAAATGACAGCAATAAGTGCTGTTTCACAGTAAAAACTTGAGCTAAGATACATAATGCATGTCACTTACTGGCACAAAGTATGTGATTCTGCACTTCATTTACGGGGCCTATTCTTATCTACAAAAGGGTGGTCCTGCTGAAAAAGTTGGGGAACCACTGCTCAAATTCATCCTCAGCACTGCTCCAGTGATGATTTATTTCTGTTTACCATTTTTCATAATTGATTCTTTATTAGTGGATTTATCTGCTATGTAGCAGAATGGAGTTAGAAAACTCAATTTCACTCAATGACTTGTTATATTGTGACAATAAACCTACCTACGTGGTCACGCCTACCATCTTCCTCCCTCTCATCCCTTCTATTGACACACACAGCTCGGATTGGAGCCCCATAATTATTAATCTTTAATAATTTTAGTAATTTTTACCTTTATTAATATTACAAAATATTTGATATTAGCTAACCAAACCTGCTCCCCCGCCCCCCAGATCCCAGTATGTCTGGGCAGCCAAATCTCTATTGTATGTGCATACTTTTCTACAAAATGTGCTTTATGTCTAATGCCAACAATTAGTGCAAATATCAGATAGGAAAAAAAAGAAGTGGCAGTAAGAGTATTGATGCAGTCTCCATGGCTTTTAGGGAAACAAAGCTAAAGTAAAAGAGCGAGTTGGATCCGAGCGGGGGAGCAGGGACTGAACACAAAATGTAATCTTTTGTTGGTCCATAACAATGGACACATCAGCTCAAAACAAGAGAGACAGGCAGACCTATAATTTCAAACTATTGTGCAGTCCATTAGTGGTTGGAAGGAGGATGATTCATGCAGCTGGACAGACTGCTGGAGTGGAAACACAGGCTGACACTTTAATGTTTCATATTGAATGGCACATAATTGGCTCAATAAAACAAGGAGAGACTTTCCTGTGATACAACAGCTCAGATAAATGTATTTGAGATCTGAAACATTATTCAGTCCAGGGACTTTGTTTTAAAGTCAGAAAATTATTATTGTGCCATTTTTAGCAACTACTGTCCTCAAACGGCCGCTGAGTCAGTCGCTCTGCCAGTTGGTAAATGAATCATTGAGTGGACCGGTGATGAAACTGCTGCAGGAATAATTAGATTAAGACTTTATTGTAACGGACAACCTGAATGCAACATTACTTTTGGTCTCTGTGAGTCTCTTCAGTACAAGCAGACTTTTGCAGCTGAAACACAACTTAAACTGTTCAACTGTCGATCCAAACACCCTGTTTTGTTTCTGGATAAGTTGTGATTGGCTATGCTGTAATAGAAGAAGATTCAAAGATTAGATTAAACTTTGTTATTGAGCATGTCACTGGTACAAAGCAACGAAATGCAGATGGCATCTAACCAGAAGTGCTTAAGCTGTAATTAAATAGAATGATGTACAAACGTGCAAGGTATGAATGATATGTTCTACATTACATTTATTTAGCTGACGCTTTTATCCAAAGCGACTTACACTTGCTATACAGGTCAGAGGTCGCACGCCTCTGGAGCAACGAGGGGTTAAGTGTCTTGTTCAGGGACACGTTGGTAGATGGTCACAGAGGGGAATGTGAACATGAATCTGTATTGAGACAGGTAGGTACAGGTTAAATGAGATTAACACAACGACAGTCCACTACTTGCCCCAGATGTCACACTAGACAATTTGTTATTTCAACTGCCTGAAAAATGCCATGAAAGACCGCAATCCCGCCCTTTATGGTAATATTAAAGTGTTATTATTTTGCGCACTGCTTGTCGCTGGCGCACACTAGCAAGCATATCATCATTTGTAGCGCTGTACTAATTGGAGGATGCATCAAAAAGCCACTAATACTAAACAAATAAGCTGCAGTTAATACAGAGTAATACAGTAGGCTAAAATACAACTGAGTTCATTTTCGCGGGTCGCTGCCTCAACCTGTTCACTGAAAACTGTGCGCACGACAGTCAGTCATGCAATGCGCAGCGTAGTTCATCAGGAAAGTGTGTTCATTTAAGTCAGTTTATCTTCCAGCCATCTATCGTCACCCGCTTATCCTGCGTACAGGGTCACGGGGGGCTGGAGCCAATCCCAGCTGACATCGGGCTCAAGGCGGGGTAGACCCTGGACAGGTCGCCAGTCCATCGCAGGGCCACACAGAGACAACCACTCACACCAAAGGACAATTTTTAGGATCACCAATCAACCTAGGCCGCATGTTTTTGAACCGTGGGAGGAAGCCTTCAGTTTTAATTTGAAAGAACTGACAGTTTCAGCAGACCTGCAGTTATCTTGTTCCAGATATACGGAGCATAATAACTGAACGCTGCTTCACCTTGTTTAGTTTTGACTCTGGGGACAGAAAGCAGACCTGATCCCAGACGACCTGAGAGGTCTGGATGGTTCCTAACGAAGCAGAAGATCAGAAATGTATTTTGGCCCTAAACCATTCAGTGCTTTATAAACTAACAGCAGGATTTTGAAATCAATTCTTTGGGCCTATAATTGCTCATTAGTGAACTGTCTAGATTGCTCTTTTAAGAGTGGCTTAATGACTGCAGTTTTCAGGGCCTGTGGGGAAAAAAAACCTGAGAGGACAGACATGTTGACAATTCGTAATAAATCTGAGGCCATGCATTTAGAAACATTTCTGAAAAAACCTGTCGGCAGAATATCAAGGCAGCATGAGGAGGATTTCAGATGTTGTATTATGTCCTCCAGGTTTTTATGGTTAATAGAATCAAATTGTCTGTTTTTGAGTGGGACAAGACATATCCTGTTACTGTTACGGTGGGTGGCTGAGTTGATCAGGTTGGAGGACCCAAATGCAGGACGCAAGGCAGAGGAGGTGCAGTGAACCAAGGTGATTTATTAGAACAAACAGAAGGCGAGCACACTTACTGATTGAGTGGCTGATGCAGAGTCCAAAACAAAAGCAGTTCAAACAGAAATCCAAATCCAAGAAGTGCAGGGAACAGGGAGACACGACAAGAAAGGCTGGCGACCGGACAACACACAGCAACACTGGGTGACAATAAACATCATACAATGACAAGACAGAAACACCAGGTATATATACACACAGGGACTAACGAGCAGGGCGGGAGCAACACAGGTGAAAGACATGAGGCTAGCGAGGCAGAGGAAGGGAGAGAGAGCAGGGGAAAACAGAGACAGACATGCAGAGGGATCACTGGTGTAACAGACATGACAAGGGTTACCAAACACTAGACGAAAGACAAGACAGAGACGGACATGAGTGAACCCCAAAACACAACAGACTATATAACTGATACTGGACACAGGACAGAACCCAAAACACTAAGACATGAACCGAGACACAGAACGAGGAGCTAAGACACAGAATACAGAGCAGACTAAACTAAAATAATGCAGACGAGGAACAAGAAGTAAATACTAAAACATAACCGAGGCACAGGACTGGGAACAAAGACAAAGAACTGAAACACAGGACCAAGAGCTAAGATAAAAGACGAGACATAAACTACTAAGGACAAGGAACGAGAGAAACAGACAAATAGACATACGAAACAAATGGCAAAAACTCAAACTCACATAGAAGAAACTACGACTCATAACTGGCATGGAGGCACTGATTGCTTGTTTAATTGTTCGAATTTTGTCTGTGAAGGAGGCAAATTCATTGCAGGCCCTGGTGGATAGAAGTTCAGAGGCTACAGACACAGGAGGGTTGGTTAGCCTGTCGACAGCAGCAAACGGGGCACGTGCATGGTTAGTGTTTTTGGTGATGAAGGACCGCCTTGCATTTCTTTCTTGCCTGTTTTAACCGTGTCTATTGTTTTTATGATCGGGAGTCCCCGGGTATTTCATTTTGAAAATTGACCGGATTCTCGCCATTCTGTGTCTCACTTCCTGCCCAGATCGATCTGCTCTGTGCATCTTGACGCGGCATCCATCAAAATTATACCCAATGTATATCTGTAACCGTATCTAGGACACTTCTGGTGGCATTGATTAGAATGGCTGCCTATAGCCATAAAGCGAAGCAACCTGAGTCACTGGACTTTCGGAGTTGGGGTGGGAAAAGTTTAGTGAGTCTCGTTATAAGACACGTATTTAAAGTAAATACAAAATACAACCATTTAAATCTCCATGCCCTCCCATATTCAGCTAAACAGCTAAACTGTTTTTGGCATTTTTGATTCAGTTACTTTGAATAGAACATGTCCATAGATCTGAAGTAAATATTTTCACACTGTTCTTTCCACAATTTGAATAATTTATTCTGTATGATGTGACTCGTCCATGTAGTCCTCACAGCCAAGAATAACACTTAATAATTTACACTTATTCTGAACCACTGTAGTCCCAAAACGAAGCCAGTGATTTGTGAAGTGAACGCTGCAGACAGTCCACACAGAAATGTGCTGCATTTGACTTCATCCCTCAGGGAAAGCCAGCTGATTACAAGGCAAACCCCGAGAGGACCTGGAGAGCACATTTAGAAACATAATGACAACATGACGCGCTGATTGAAGCGCTGAAACACTGTTCAGTTCAAAATGCATCCATAAGGCTGAGGAAGTCTATCGGTGGAGGTCTACGGTATAATGTGAGTGTTTAGAAGGTGGAAATTATGACAGACTTGCTGAGAAGGTAACAGGGTTTGTCTCTTCCACTGAATATCATTATTTTCTTCTCTCTTTTTTTCATAGCCCTGCACAGTTTTCTCCAGTATAATGATGAAGTTTCAAAAGGCATCGGGCCGCCATCATCATCATCTTCGTCAACCCTCTGATTCAGAATCTGGGTCACATTCGTGTTTTCTGCATGTTGACTGGGGCCTGATGCATAAAATGCCCGAAGATTCAGTGCTGCAGAAAAAGTCTATATAATGAGATTCCCATTTTGTTCATGTTGTTCCATGTCGTACGTCTCGTTAGAGCTCTGATTCTCAGCCATAACATGATTGAACCAAGAAGCTTTAGACCCGGTCACTTTAATTTCTCTCAATGTCCTCGGGCTTGATTCTTTAATGTGTTTCAATTTCTCTTCATTCTTTTTCCTAAACCGTGGTCTTGACAAGAGTTTTTCCCTTCCTGCAAGCATTTTCTGTGCATTACGAAGCTTTTCTGCTTTTTCTGCATTACACATATTAACAGAAAAATTGTAGTAGTTAAAGCAAATATGAACAGTTTCATTAATGTTCTGATCAAAACTTTATAAGATGCATTACTCATGTGTTTTCACCCCACTGTGCGGAAACACTGGAAATGTTACTGTCTGCATGGCGCAGACATGGGAGACAGGGGTTTGGGCCCAGATGTTGACACTGACAAGACGGCTTTTTGTTAAACAAACAGGTGACACTTACAGGTCAGGTGGGGTTAGTTGTCCAGAAACCAAAGCACAGTAAACCACAACAACATAGGTAGTCCATAAATCCACAAGACAAGAGGGGAAACCCGGGGAATGATCCAGGGACAAGAGGCAGGAAATGAAGCACTGGTGCAAACGATCATGAGCAACGAACACGCGACAGACGAGCAGGTGATACACACCAATCAGTGAGCACAAACAGGAAGTTAGGCCTAGTCCACACGGACACAGGGATAGTTTCTCCCTCTCAGTTTAAAAAAAATTCTCTGTCTACATGAAAACGCAAAAACACGCTATCAAGCGCTGCCAACAGTACGCCCAACCACCAGGCGGCGATATGACCCAAACTGGAAAGCCATGATGGAGCCTAATAAAACTGTAGCAAAGCAGGCAGTGGCGTACACTCTGACTCTGCAAGGCGAACACTCCGGTTTCACTGTCTACATTTAAACTCCTCACCCTGGCAGGGGTTTTCAAAAATGTTCGGTTTCAGTGACCTGATGCTGCATTTCCGTGTGGACGAACGGTTTTGAAAATACCCAAAGTAAAACAGGAAAGATGAAAACACCCACAGCCCAGAACCATGATAACAAAAAAGCTTTTACTCTTGTCTGAGGTATAAAAGTTGTTTGGATGAAAGCAGAAACAAAGTGAGGGAATAAATGCAGCATGTGAAAGTGAAAGCTCTGGTTTTTAAAGTCTTCACCTTCACTTAAAAACCTCCCCCCTTTTAAAGTGAAGCACTGAAAACCTCAGATCTGTGTGGCGCGATGACGAGGCTGTGACCTTCCTCACATGAACACATGTATTGTAAGATCACACCTAATATTCTGCTGGATGTCCTGGGATTCAGCTGAACTAACTGAATCCTGCTCTGAACCGTAATGGGTTCTGTTAAAGACACTCCGGCTGCGAACGATAAACAGGACATTATGTTCACCAGCCTGAGCGGAGCAGGGGTGTCGGTGCACTCAGCTCATACCCCGCATGCAGACACTAACAGAATATCCTGTCCTGTCATTATGTGAGCTCTCATAACGATGTAATGTTTTCGAAATAATCAAATCCAAACCGCAGGAAATGAAGCAGATACCTGCTGCAGACAGATGCCTCTGTCCTCCACAGTGCACCTCAGCTGCATGAAAAACATTAAAAACAGC